ACCTCTCCTCACAGGGGACAAGGGGAAGGAGCTGCTGGAGGAAGGTCCCCTCTTAGACCCAAGTTCTAGTGCTGTGGCGACTGTGCTGATGCTTTCTTGGGGCTTCAAATGTCATTGTCAGACTTCGTGAAGACTCCCCTGAGGCTCTTCTGAAGATGTGAGCGAACGCACGGGGCCCCTCTCCTTCACCAACTGTTCCCTGCGCGGCTGAGACGTGATCACAAACACTGCCCAGCCTCCCTCTCATCTCAACCCTACCCACCTCCTCCGAGTGGAAAGTTTCCCTCAGACGCCCGAGGCTCCCCCGGGAGAGGGACCTCGGTCACTCATGTCGGAGGGCTGGCATCTCTGTGCCAGCCAGGTGATATTTATATCCATGCCACCTCCCTCAGCATCTACATCTACAACCAACGAAATCCAGGTGGAAAAAAACAGCAGGGTCCAGACATGACTGAGCCTCTGTTTGTTTGTTTTTGGTTTTTGGGGGGGATGTGAAGTTTTGCATGTAAATCAAATAGTTTGCTGGACAAGTCACCTCCTAAGTCAGATGGTCTGCTGCCTGGATATTGCCCAGAAGGAAAAAGTACTTTATCTAGAGAGGAGAGGCTCCATATCTTAGAACTAAAAACTCAGAATTACAGGGTCAAAGTAAGGCAACTCGGATCCCTCTTCCTACGTGTCTTCTGTCACATACAGCCCCCCAAAGTTGCCGGGTGATTTTGACAGGAGCCAGGCTCCTAAGTGACTGTTAGGCATGCCAACTTCTTCAGGTTTCAATCAACATAACATTAGGCTCATCGCCCCTCTGGGTGCAGAAAAGTGGGGTGTGCCAGGGTTGTGTGCTCAGAGAAAAGACACGTCTCCTCGGGGGTTCCATCCTGAGCCTGTGAAGCCAGGGAGAGCTGGGGACCGACGGCATGACCCCGATGGCCTTCCCACTGGAGTGTCCTCTGGCTCTGGGACAGGGCTGTGGCCCAACAGCAGTGTCTGGAAGGGAGAGTGAGGGTCGGCGGGCTGTGCCAGTCCCGGGCATGCGCTCTGAGAGCGACCTCCACCCCCCCTCTGCTCCACTCGTCCCGAGTCGGGGTGAGGAGAGCGTGCAGACCCCAGACTGCTCCCCTCAGAAAGGCCTCCTTGCAAGGCTGGCCCCGGGCTGGCATGTGGGGGCTTGGTGTCGGCCGTCGTCCCACCGTCCCCGGGTGGGCGGGCACGGCTCTGCGCCTGCGCCGTGGCACAGTGTGGTTTCCGTGAAACTGGCCCCGTGCGCTCCTTGGAGAGTGTGGAGCTCCGCGCGTGCCTGTGTGACCAGCCTCAGATGAAAACCCTGGGCTCTGATCTCTGCCGATCTCCCTGGGAGACAGCATTTCACACCTGTCGCTGCACCTCTTTGCTGGGGGAGTTAAGCATGTCCCAAGCGACTCTAATGGGAGGGGACCCTTGAAAACCTGTGCTGGCTTCTTTCCGCCTTCGTCCCAAGTGCTTTTCCCTTTGCTGATTCTGATTTGTATCTTTTCACTGTAATAAATCATACCTGTGAGGATGACAGCCTGGTGGGTCCACTTTGTGTATCGTTCAATGCGGGGGTGCTTTGGAGGCACCCCCCACAGGTGCGGTGCTCTCCCAACTCGCCATCGGGTTCTAGCTGAGCCCAGCAATGGGAGACAGTGGGGGGAGAGAGACCAGCAAGGACAACCCTTCCCTGCCTCTTGACCTCAGCAGTGGTTCTGGAGATGACTGATCTCAGCTGATGCCAGTCCGTGCCACAGCCCAGCCCTGTGCGGTGTGACACCAAATTCTCCCTGCTGTTGCTAATTGCTGACTTCACTCAGCTTCCCTTGTTTGGCTTCTTGTGTCTTCTATCACCCGTGTAACCAATCTCCTGTGTGAAATTCTCTCTTTCAAAAAATACCTAAAATGGTTTTTATTTCCTGGCGGGACCCCACGTGCTGTATTTCTTTCTTTCTTTTTTTTTTTTTATCCTCACCCGAGGATATTTTTCCATTTTTTGTACAGATAGAGTGGGAGGGAGAGAGAGGAAGGGAGAGAGAGAGAGAGAGAAACATCGATGTGAAGGGACACATCGAGTGGCTGCCACCCGCACGACCAACCAGGGCCAGGGACAAACTGCAACCGAAGTACATGCCCTTAGCGGGAACCGAACCCGGGTCTCTCCGGACCACAGGCCGACGCTCTAACCGCTGAGCCAAACTGGCCAGGGCCGTGCTGTACTTCCTGAATGCCGACACTGCGCCACCTCTGTCCAGGCACGGGGCGCTCAGAGATAGAAGTACTACAGGCCGAGGGTGCTTCTGCAAAAGCCACACTTCCTGGCACAGCTGAAGGGTCATCGCGTGGCCAGAAACGTGGTCCCTCAGCCTCGGGACTGTGGAGAGGCTGTCACGTGGATGGCCTTCAGCTGCGTGCCAGGGCTGGGTGCTCTCAGACACAGATTGGCAGTTTTTGTGAGGCACAAGCACAGCCTTTGCATTTCTAATGGGTTGGTATTTTGGAAAAATTAGGAAGTTCACGAGCATGTGTGCCTTTTCACACAATAACCAGAGTCTCAGGCCAAAAGTAACACTGTGGTGGTAGCTGTGAGGATGACAAGCCTGCCCCGAGATGCTCAGCACAGCCAGGAATCCCAGGGGACCTGGAAGCTGCCAACCTAGTCTGGAGGGTACAAGGCTGACCCCTCTTCCCACACCCCACATGGACAAGGGTATGCAGGACCCCAGCACACCCAGGCTTGAGGTTTGCCAGAGTACTAAGCGCGTGACGCCTTCCCTGGGGCCTTTCTCTCCCACTCAGCAGAGAATACAGGGGAGGATGGGCCCTGGGTGATCGGATAATCTGCACCCTCTCCTTGGCAAACTGGGGTTGGATCCTCCACTCTCTTGTCGTCTAGTTGGGGTGCAGCCAAGGAAACAGAAAATGGCCAGACAGTGTAAGGAACACATGACACGGCAGCTCCTTGCAGGGCATCTGAGCAATTTGGGTTGAGGTCTGGAAGGGGAGTGCGAGACAGTCCCGTGGCGAGCGGGGGAGGGCAGAGGCACGCGGCGAGAAGCAGGCGATGAGCATAGAATGGGGTGGACAGGGCGCAGGTGAGGTGGGGAGGGAGATAGTGCCAAAGACGGTGAGAGCTGGGTCTGCAGAGCAAAGCAGGGCTAGACTGCGTCGGATCTGGCCAGCTGATGCTTGGAACTTCTAGTGGAAGCAAAGAGAAACAGCAGCAGAAAGGCTTTGTTCCAAGTGTTTGATTTCAGATTTGAGTTCCACAAAGCTCATTCTGACTGCACTGTGGAGAATGCATGGGGAGGGGTAAGTGGGTATAGTCAAGAGATATTTTAAAAAGTAGAGTGAAAAATATGTGTTGAAGATTTGGAGTTGGGGGTAGAAAGGGCAAGAGGAACTGTCAGCAATGATGCCACGTGTTGGGCTGGGCCTCTGGCTGCAGGGTGATGGTTCACTGAGACAGGGAGCTCCCAAGATGAGCCAGGCTTGCAGGGAAATTTCACATCTCATTTTAGACACGATGAATGTGAGTTCTCAGGGGGACATGCCAAGGGAAGATGGCTGGTGGGCAGTTAGATGGGGGAGTTTAGCATTCCGTAAAAAATCATGGCTAAAGACCTCGATTTAGGAGGTCTCAGGATATAGATGGAAGACGCGGGAGCCGCCGAGATGATCAGGGAGCTTGCACAGTGCTGAGGACACCCCAGAGGGTGCCGTGTCCCAGAGGCCAGGGCAAAGACCTTCAAGGCTAGAGCGGGCAACAGAGCTCAGCGCTTTCAAAGGTTCAGTGCGTGAGAACCGAATCCTGCCCTGTGGATTTAGCAGAGGCTGTTGGTGACCTTCAGCTAAGGTGTCGGGGAATGGTGGGGGCAGGAGCCAGGTGGCAGACGCTGGCAGTGAAGAGGAGGGGAGAGAGGAGCAGTGCTGGGTGGATGCATGCAGGATGGAAAAGGTTTCAAAAATATAGAAGGGACCTGACTTGTAGCTGTGTGCGTGCTGATGGGGAGCAGCTGCTGGAGGGCGGAGCTAGAGAGACAGGAGAGAGCACCGTGCACCTCGCAGCCAGGCTTGGGGAGGAGGGGACAGAGCACAGACAGAGGGGACTGGGCATGCTCAGCCTCGGACAAGGGCCGGAGATTTTCCCACTTCAGTAACAGGAAGAGGGAAAAGATGTCCAAGGTTGCAGGTGAATTCACAGACTTGGCGGCAGAAAATTGAGAGAATGCCTAACCAGTGGCATCTTTCTTTCTGTGTGTGAAGTTAGACTGTGGCAGGGTCAGAAATGTGAAAGCAGAGGAAGAAGGTTAGAAATAGCCATGACTAAAAACAGGACTATTTAGAGATCTGAAGACTCAAAAAACTTATGGAAAATTTTTCTATTTTTCCCAATTATTTGAAGATAAACCAAAATGGTTTTCCAAAAAAGAATGGTGCTATTTTCTAATTTTTGTGGTACTCTTAAAAGCATTTACTCATTTTCCCCCGCAGGGCATGCCCTCCCGCAGGAAGTCTGTGGTTTGGTGGTGGCTGTGGCCCTGAGGACTGTTCAAGAACACAGGCCATGTCCCTCAGTTTTATTTACACAGAAGGACCCGGTACTCTTGCTGTGTGCATGGTCACAGGCTGTGGCCTGTCTGCTGGGGAGCAGACCCTCCTTCCTGCCAGGCCCCACCTACCTGGCTGGCAAAATCCCCACCTTCCAGCCCTCCCCACCGAAGGGGACAGGGGGGGTCTGCCTGGCACTGCAGGGTCATCAGCAGGTCCTCCCAGCCACCAAGTGAGGCGGGGGAGGCACGATGGGAGGTGGGTGATGGGGAGAAGCCTGGCCGGGAAGCTGGGGGAAGGGTTGGGGTGCTGCAGGAGAGCAGCAGAACAGCAGAAGTAAACAGAAAGCCCAGGAGCAGCTCACTTGCTCCAGCTGTCAAGAAGGGGGAGGAGAGAACCCTGTGGGATGGGGAGAAGGGAGGGAGCTGTTAAGAAGTTATTTAAGAGCCAACTTTCTTGTCGGTTTTTCCTGTGTCCTTTTGAGGAAGTACCCTAGAGACACACAGAGCCAGCCTGTGCTGGGATACCGCAGGAGGGGACCGCAGGTAAGCAGCCGGCCCTCCTGCCAGTTTGGCCGCAACCCGCTCCCAGGGATCCCTGGGGTCCACTGCACTCACCCCCTTGAAACTAGGTCCCTCAGGTGGCTGCTGGGAGTGCCAGAGGCTGGGGGTCAGTTCCCTGATCATGGGCCCTAACTCTGCACCCACCCAGCCCCTCTTCTGAGTGGGACCTCTCGCAGGTGCTCCGCGAGGCCTTCTGCAAGGCAGCGTTTGCTGAGAAGGGCACCACGTGGGAATGGGGGAGGGGGGCCTTTTGGGGGAGCAGACTGTGAGAAGGGACAAAAGTTGGAGAGGGGAGGAAGTAGGGCCAGGTAAGGACAGCTGCTTGGTGGGAGCTGAACTCCAGCACCTTTCCTGCCCCCACACCTGGGAGAAGGGGGTGCTTCTGCCACCTGCACAGGCTCCAAGTCCTCTGCTTTATGAGTTCTCTCTCTCAACGACTGCTGCATAGTTGCATAGTTCTGTGCCGTGCCCCCCCAAACCTGCCCTCTCCCAGTGACCCCACAACCCACCCTTGCTATTTCCCACCAGGGGTCTGCTGTTCCTTGCCATCGCGCCATCATTAATCCTTTCTCTGTCCTCCCTCCCCGACTCCCTCCTTCACTAGGAGCTCTGTAAATATGCCTTAGGTACTTATGGGCACCTGTTCAGACCTTGTGCTTCCAAACACTGCTGTCTCCTCCGAGACCACAGGCTTTGCCATGGGAGTCTCCTGCTCCCAGCTGTGCTGTCTTCGCTCAACATGCTTCCGGAACAGTCCCCTCTGGTTGCCTCTATAATGGAGGCTCCTCGCCTTCTGTGGGTGTGACTGTTGTTTTTTTTTTTTTTTTGAAAATAGCCAAATCACCAGGAGTCATGATTGGGTAATCCAGGTGATCAAGGGGATGCTTCATTGGGGCTAGAAACAAGGTCTCCCCTCATTTGGTCAGTTGATCGACATGCAGGTCTTGGGCACGGGCAGTAAGGTGTGCGGCATTCACACTGGCTCTGTCCGCACCAACCCCGCAGGAAGGGGAAGAGGCTTGGAGCGAGGGCAGTGTCAGCACCACGGCCCGGGAAGTGCGGTCAGCGGGCTCTGTCCAGCCCTATCAAACACTGCAGTGTGCCTCCCCCTCACCTGCCGGACTCTCCAGCTCCTGCTCCTGCTCCTTGTGGTGACTGTACTGCTGAATTCTGTTGGGCTGGACCCTGCCACCACCAGACCAGTAGTTCTCCAAGGCAAGAACCCTTGTGTCTTATTCTCTGATGTATCCCAACTGCCCGGACCACAGCCTGGCAGAGAGTGGGCCTCGGTGAATATGGGTGGAATTAAATTGCAAACACGAATGCACGTGAAGACGCCACTTATCTGGACATGGCTGTCTGAGTTTAGTCTTCAGAGGGACTTAGGCCTCGGAAGCCCATGTGAAACGGGCATGTGTACATGCACACGACAGTAAACACTTCCTACAGACTTACTGCCTTAGGGGTAATGAGGGGAAAAAAAACTTTCTCCCCAAAATCTGCTACATTTTTTATTTCTTCAATCAGCCTCCTTTTTTCTGCTTTCCGCATGTTTTGAAAAATCTCCCCAAGATCCTTGGGGAGTCTACTGCATTGTTAGAGTGAGGTCACTGCCCCTCCTCAGTTTCCGTTTAGTGAAACCCTCCATGTGCTGTTCGGGGCCATCGCACACAGGCTGTCTGCTTCTGTGCTTTTGGATCTTTGTGTCAAATGTAAATTGATCCACATTCCTTTTCTGTCTACTTTTTATCCCCCAAGGAGCCTGTGAAGCTGAGAATGTCGGAGACCCGCACAACCACCTTTGGAGGCAGGAGAGCTGTCCCCCCCAACAACTCTAATGCTGAAGAGAACAACCCCCCTACTGTGGAGCTGCAGGGCCTGGTGCCCCGAGGCGTCAACCTGCAAGGTACCCCTGTCCCCCGCCTCCCCATGTGCGCTGGCTCAGCACCCTCTGTCTCCACCGAGCTCCCACAGAGGGGCCCCTTCCAGTCTCTGGTGTTAAAGAAAGGACTCCAAAACCCCCTTTTGAGTGGTCAAAGCACTGAAGACCTGTTTCTTGTCCCGAGTCTGCCGCTGAATAGCTCTGTAATCCCAGAAACATCACCTCTCTGAAGCAAGGGCGCTGGCTTAGCGAGGTTCTTCCAGCCCCAGCGCTGTTTTTGAGAAGGTTCTCTAACTGGAAGTTTCCACTCCCAAATACTGTTGCTGTTTTGATTGTCTGGCTTGCACCACCTTTCCTTCTCCCCCTCCCTCCTCCCTCCTCCTCTGCATCCACTGCTGTGAATTTCGGAGCCGGTGAGAGCCAGGCTCTGACAGTGAGGAGACAGCCCTCTGTCTCAAGCAGCCTGGAGAGCAGACCGCCAGCTGCGCTCCCTGCTCTCGCCTCTGCGGGTCCCCAGGGACCTGCTCGGGGCAGCAGCCAGCAGCTGACCTGCACTCAGCCGTCAGCGGTGACAGGGCCCAGGTGCCGGCAGTGGCGAGGCGATCCAGACACCATTCTCTTGGGCCAGGCAGGGACATTTAGACTCATGTCCTTGAAGGGCTTCTAGCAGTAGCACACATGTACCCAGACTCACTTGAGCTCCTGGGGGTGCTCCGTGCGGGTTTCACCAGGGCAAACACTCCCTTGCTGCGCAGGTGCCCGTCTCATCAGAAAGAGCCCAGCGGTTGACAGCCAAGGGGGCAGTGCAGTCTCCACAGTCCTGCAGGGCAGCAGCCGCGCACACGCTGGGGACGGCCTGGACTGCAGTACCCTCAGGTCTAGGCGGTTTGACATCCAATTGTGAAAACAGAGAGATACCCGGTACTATCTATCAGGTACCAAACTTGAAGGGGGCTCGTGCAGAACAGAGGGCACCTTCAGCTGAGTGGAGGGACCAAGACGGACTGTACACTTGTGGTGAACTCTCCCAGCGAGGGGCCGCAAGTCTCCGAAATTCCACCATTAGAGCCACAGAGCTGAGTCGGAAAGGCTTGCTGATCAACTCATTGAATCCCCACGTTAGGGGTTAGGAAACTGAGGCCAAAGTAGCAACTGATGCTCAACTTCACAGCCCAGTGCAGGAATCTCTCTTTTGAAATGCAAATAAGTCGGAAAGTGTGCTGATTATCAAGCAGGTGACCTTGAAGGATTCAGTTTTCTAGCAAAATTCCTCTCTGGCAGAGAACGCTCTGGGCTCCAGGGAGGGGTGCCGAAGGAAGTGGGCTGGATGAACAGAAAGAGGGAGAGGCAGAGGGTGGATCCCAGGAGCACAGCGACCTGCCCAGAGGCAGTGGTGATGGGGGTGTGGCAAAGCCCCCTGGCCTAGGGCTCAGAAGACCTGGGTTCCTGTTCTACACCTGCCTTTCGCTTCCCTGAGCCTCAGGGCAAGTCAGGAAATTGCCCCAAACCTCAGTTTTTCCAAAAGCAAATGCAAGCAGCTTCACAGTAGTCCTGAGGATCAAACGGCTGGTGCCCTGCGACACCTGGCCCACAGCACATGACCAATAAATGCTCATCGATTAGAATGTCAGTTATCACACCCCACACGGTCAGGAGTCCTCCAGTTTCCAATGGGAATAGGTACAACCTGCAGCCCCTGCATATCTGAAATCTGAACAAAATGTTGTCAGTAAGAAATCAAAACTGCCAGAGAACTTGAGCAGAGAAGTTAATTTAAAAAGAATCTGATTTTACTGTTTTTTGTTTATTTATTTTTGGAGGCAGAAGTGGGGATTATTTTAGACTGAATTATTTTGAAAAATCTCATTATTTGCTTGGTAGTCACATGTCCACAACCCAAGAGACACTCTGAGACACTTATTACAGACACTGGCATAGGGTGTGAGTATCCAATGACTTTGTAGAATGAATGAACAGTCGATTGCTTGAGAATTGAATGACTCATCAGCCCTGGAGTCATTATAATCCTGTTATTAATAACAGCTTCCAGATTTCATAAACATGCATCCATTTAATATTTCTCACACAGATGAACTAAGAGCTACATGCTATGAGAGTCAGGTCTCTGAACCCACGAAGCATAGTATAAGTCATAGATGAATCAGACAGAAAAAAAAGAGAGCAAGTAGTTATCTCCTAGTTATCTTTTGCATTTCAAATTCCTGTTTAATTATACTAAAGACTTCTTTGTCACTAAATGTATTGATATCTCCCCAAATCATCCCTGCTAAGGCAGTCCTGTTTAAATGCCATGTCCTTGCAGTTCACTCAGTGGCCACTAGTGGCCTCCAAGAGGACTGGTATCTCCCTGATCCCCTGTCTGACCATGACTTGGGTTCCACATAAAGCCCTACATCAAACTCTCTTTCCTCCTTTATTTCAATGAAAGCTTTTTTTCTAAAGTGTCCCAAGCAAGCTGCTCTTGTAAAATTAACAGAATGGCAGAGAAGCAAGAGGAGAAAGGGGAAGGGGCAGAATGGCAGGTATTTCATTTTAAATAATCCTATGGCAGTCAATGTATAAAATATATACTAAGTGGGTATAATACCTTTAATTCACAGCTTTCATAATTATTTAGCTAAGAATTATCTTAGCCAATAGCAAAATGTATGAACTTAAGTAAGCTTCTCCTATACAGCAGCACGATATTTAAGAAAAATGGAAATATTTAAGGTGACCATGGAGCCCTGGAGATGGGACCAGCCAGTCAGCAGTGATGTTTGATATCCTCTGTATTTTTAAGAATCCTTAATGCCCCTCCCACTTTGAATTTAGTTATAGCCTAGAAAAGTATGTGAAAATCTCCTTAGATTGTTTGAATTTGCATCTATTTCTAATAGACTGTTCTGTGTGCACAGTTGGTGTTTCTGAAAAATCTCTCTGTAGCCTGCTTGTCTCAAAGGTTATTTTAGCAGGAGATGTAATGTTCTGGAACATAACCTTATATTTTTGGGCTGGTTTGACTCTGTATTGTTAACAATAGGTGATCATTTGCAGCAGTAAATGGAACTTATTTGACAGGTCCTAGTGCACTGAATTCAAACTAGAAAGCAAGTCTGGATCTATTTTTAAAAACCAGATGCAGGCAGAATCTAGTATTTATTAGGTTAATGAGGTCTTGTGTCTTTCCAAGCATTTCCTCCCTCCCACTATTCCATGTCAGAACTAAACCAACTAGTTAACTGGTTTATTATCCATCTGCCCTTGGTGCAGAGTAAACCTCTCTGGATTCAAGGTTATTGAAAAAAACAAGAAATGCATTCAAGGTATGATTAGAAAATTATGTTGCATAGAATCAGTTTATCCTTCCATTTGGTTTGAGGAAAACACTTAGTGATTATCACCTATGTGTCAGGAGCTATACCACACTCTCTCTGGGGACAAAAGGATGAGTAAGACAGTCCCTGTCCTTAAGCAATTCTCCCTCTAGTAGATGAAACAAGTTAGAAGACTGACTAGTTGTGTCAGAGGGTGGAAAAGAAGGTGAAAAAAATGAATAGGAGTGTTTCAGGCAGAAAGGTGCATGAATAGCATCTACAGCAGAGGGAACAGTGTATGCCAAGTAGTGAGGACACGGGAGGAGAGATGAACCTGGGACAAGGAGGCAAGGATAACACCATGACGAGCCTTGAAGGCCTTACTTTTTCTCCTGCTTGCAAAGGATTCTCACTTGCAGAATGACATAATCAGAATTATGTTTTCTAAAGGTGCATCTCATGGTGAGGCGAAAATGGAGAGGAGATACATTTAGAGGCTGTTGAGATATTTTGGATAGAAAAGAATTGACCAGAGGGGTTTTAGTCCCTGGAGAATATATTAGCCTCATTTCTCTTATTCTAGCTTCCTCTAAGCAGCTGAGCATTTCTTATACATTCTAAGTATAGGACATTTTTTAATAGCAACAGTTAAAAAAAACAGTAGGCTGCTTAAGAAAATCTTTTTAGTCATTCTAGTTAATACTTTAAAATTATGGCTATCCAAAAGAAATATGAGAAAAAAAAAAAACTTTTATCCTGTAGTTTTCACAATAAACAGACCTACTTCTTCATGGATAGTATATATGCCTATTTTTTGGTAATAACATTAAAAAGATTGCATGGAGAATTCAGTTCACTAGGGAATTCCTAGGATATGAACCTAAACATTTAACTTATTTCAAGATTCGATCTGTGACAGGTATAATCATTCTTTGAAGAATATATAACCAAAGGAGAATATAATCCAGTTTTTACATATTAGGGAAAGGGTGGGGGACAGGAAGGTAGCTGGCTAATGAGGAGAGATTTTTTTTTTTTTAACAGTCCATTTTCTGATGTGTTTAGAATTAGGCTAAATTGTGTTAGGGAGACTTTTTAAAAGCTGCCACTTTGAAAGAGTGAACTGCCAAGTTTCCAGCTCCAATATTCCTCTAAAAAACAAAAAAGTAACTTAGCAATGAGCTGCTCCATTTTGCCAGGAACTGGGCTTGGACAGGGAGAAGCAAATTAATTTCCTGTTGGTGGCAAATGGAGCTTGGGTGATGAGAAGTCTCTTTCGATCTAAACTATGTTTTGTTAAGCAATAAACAAAGCAAAAATCAATATGTCAGCTTAACAAATGTATATTGAGTGCCTACTCCATGGGAAGGGGCAATACTAAGAAAGATGAGCAATAGAAAAAACTATGATATTTGTAAATCTTTGCTTGACTTGATCCTTGGGTGACTCTCCCTGAGCAATGACAGAAATGTTGCTTAATTAGTGGTTCGGGGACCTCAGCTCATTCCCCAGTGTTGGGGCAAACCCTAGTGAATCTACAGCCCTGTGAGGAGACAGCACTGGGAGGAGGGCAGCCTGGCCACCATTTCCTTCTCCTGGAGAATAAACACGTCTTACAAATTTTTTAAAAAGTTTATTTTCTTTTATTGATTTTAGAGAAAAAGGAAGAGAAGGGGGGAGAGAGGGAAACATCGAGGAGAGAGAACA